GAAATGTGAATATATATATTTCTTTTTAATTAAAATCGGATAATAAGAACATGTTATGAGTTTTTAAAACTTATATTCACGTGTTTATACAACAAATTATAACATGTTCTTATTATCCGATTTTAATTAAAAAGAAACATATATGTCCCATTTCAATATTGGCGCAATAATTATTAACAATATTGCGCCTTCCAGTTTGTTGCATATAGCCAATATTGTACGAATATATTTTGCTACCTGGATAGGGGCAATGTAAATGGCATCATTCAGTCAGCTATGCAGTATACAGGGTGATTCAAAATGGGCGTCATTCCTCTGGAGGCGTTGTCTGACGGTGTTTACGGAGTACAGCAAAATAGCAAAAAATATTAATTGTTAGTAAAAACTGAGAAATTTGCAAAAAATCATATTAAAAAACGGCAACAATGTTTTTCAAGGTAATCTGCCTAATTAACATTACGTAAATACCTGTTGCTTCCTAATTATTTAAAACTCCGGTAACCATGGATAAATAGGAAAAGTGACAATAAGATAGACAAAGATAAGCGGTAAATTCAACAGGAATCGTTGAATGACAGAACCTATTTCGAAACTTATAACCTTGAATTATTAATTTGTACACAAATTGCAAAAACATACATTTGAGTCTGTAACTCCAAACAAGTCCCTGTGTAATCATCTTATGATGCACTCTTCTCGAGCAGCTTCTCGTATTCGGTTAATTATGAATGACCCTGTAAACATAAACAAACTTAATACTTCTATCTTATTGGAATTATTCAAAAACTGCCACTTTTCGCCACAGATCGATCATAAGGAAACACACGAAATCCGTTTTTCGAACTTCTGACAAATTTCACCCGCGGCCTGGCAAAGTCGAAACGCCGTCGCCTCTTAAAAAAACTAAGTACAATTCTTAGGTAAAATTTTAAAATTTTTCTATTTTCAACTATCGCTCTATTGGTTAAGCCAGGTTGAGGCCAAGCATTGAAGATGATTTCCTTCGATCGATTGATTTTCACGATTTGGTAAGTCCCAGAGAACAATCAAGAAAAAAATGTTAATTGTAAAATAATTTGTAAATCACTATTAAGTTTAAGAATTAATTAAGTTTTTTCATGTTTATATCGCATTTAATTAACTGATTTTGATTAGAACTCCAATGTCAAAATAAACTTGGAATTGCCTAAATATGTTGCAATTTTTTGCCTCAGGGTGAATGAAAACAAAACCATAAATTTGAATTAAAAACGGGATGCAGACAAAAGGAGTTTTTGGTTTTTCGTTGGCGAATTTTTGAAAAATCCGTGTTGTCCAACGAGCAGTCGCTTCAACTTAGTATCTGGAAAAATCCCGAAAAAAAGAGCGGCATTCAAAAATTTTGAATTTTGCGCATTTTGAGGTTGCATAAATTGATGTTATTTGCGAAAACGAGCGCATTTTAAGGCTCGATCCCGTAATGAGTTCATGGAGGTAAATATTTTGCGATGCATTCATATATTTTTAATTAGTCAGTGGGCGGGCATGAAGCGGGTTGAAACCTATACACAATGAGAGCGATAATTCTCCCAGTTTATGCACGAATTCCTGGTATAGTGGTAGATATAAATATTAAGTAAAACGAGTCGAAAATTTGATACTCACTACGGCTAATGGAGCTGGAAAATGCGCAGTTTTTGCCGATTAATGATGCATGTTGTTTTTGCGCACCGGTTGCAAGCCGGGGAAAACTCGCAGGAAAATGAAAACTCAATCAATTAGTTGGTTTGTTTGTGCCCTAATTATGCAAAATTAATCTGCTATTGTTTATTTGGGTTTTGTTGATCGAGACTTGTATTGTCCCAATACGAACATTTGGCCCAGTTCATAATGGAAATCAATTGATTCACGCTATGAAAGGCATGCCGAATTTACAGCAGCCAATTTATTGAGCTCATGGAAATCCCAAAGCGCGCTCTGACAGCATTAAATTATTTTCTTTTCAATTCTCGTGTTTGCATTCGAGGCAATTTTTTTCTTTTTGCTTCTTGCAACTTTTCACATGTATCACGTGTCGGGAACATTAGACTGCGACAATATAAACGAATTTCAGTTTACTTTCGCAGCAAAGGCTTCGGGAAAATTACAGTTTCCAGCTGAAGCGGCAGGCAAAAGCAGAGGCGAAGGGAAGGTCGGACAGGAGTATTTTATTTTAAATGTCAAAGCAGCAACGTTTGGAAACGGGCTGATTTTTGTTAAGAAAATTGCCTAAAAATGAAGCTGTTTGATGTTTAATGACAACTTCATTTCCAAACAGCACTAATATTATGGGAATTTCCATTGCTCTGTGTGAGTTTGCGCTGCGAATTTGGAGCCTGAGCAGGCAGAAGAGCGGCTCTAAATTTCCAATCGAATTACTCGAGCTCTTAAGTAACATGTCGCACAGTTCTGACCGCATAGTGCCGGTTCTATTGATTTGGGACGACTACATTTACCGATATTGGTTTATTTGCCTTCGGAGCATTTTATGGAAAACATGAAAATTACATTTTTCATTCATTTGCCTTGTTCCGAGAAGCTGAGAACAAAATACATATTCAGGCTAACTGATATGAAGTGTCTCATGATTAAAACCGTAATTTTGTTTATTTATCATTTTTACTTCATTCGGAAAAAAAATGGTGTAATAGAAACCATAAAATATTGAACTTGTTTAACGCATGATGGCAATAATTATTTTATTTTATAATTTTAATATTCGTGTTAGTCTAATAATTTATAAATGGATCAGGAATAGGTAAAATTTTATTTCATTTAATTTTGAATGT